TTTTTTTTTTTTTTTTTTTTTTTTTTTTTTTTTTTTTTTTTTTTTTTTTTTTTTTTTTTTTTTTTTTTTTTTTTTTTTTTGCTAGTTAAATAAAGAAAATGGATTTTCTTATCCAAAAATGTATTTGCTACTTATATTTGAAGGGGGAAAATAGTCCTCAGCAATTCAACAATTTGGTGAGAGAGTGAAGCGGGAGGTTTGATAAAGTCGGGTCAAAATAAGGATCGGGTGGGAGTTGGGTCCAAAGCAAAGGAAGGTCCAGTCCAGGCCCAACCGGAACTTCATGACCTGCGATGGAGAAGAAGAAGGTTAATTCGAGAAGTTGGGATGGGGTGCGGGTTACAGAACGGTGACCCCACCTTCTGTCACCCACATCGGACCGACCCAACCAAACCCAACCAAACCAAACCCTCCAAGATCCAAATAGTTATTACTGACGCAGGTTTACATGTCTTTGTCCATGATTGAATTCAATTCGATTCAGCAATATGATTCCATCAACCCGAGCCAACCCGAGCCGAGCCGGTACCTCACCGTCAATCTCAACCGTGACGCAACCTAAGCCATTGATGCGACACGGCTCCCCCTCTCTCCCGGAATGGCGACATCAACGGCTCGACCGTACCGTATTACTCACTCTCCCCCCGACGCATTCGGCTCACGCGTCCGGCACTTCGTCGCCGACGCAACTTCTTTAACCTCAACCCTTAACCCTTCCCTGCTTAACCCTACCATTTTCCTCTCTTCTCCAGCCCCATCCCCATCCCCATCCCCATCCCTATCCCGATCTAATCCCTTACATCTCTTATCTCCGATCACCGGTCACCTACGATATTTCTATTTTCGCTGCCGCTCTCGATGGGCGACTTGACAGATTCCTTGACACCGTCGTCTGGCCACTCCCGACCCATACCCGTTCGTGAAGACTGCTGGAGCCAGGAGGCTACCTCCACTCTCATCGACTTTTGGGGTCGCCGTTTCGTCGAGCTCAACCGGGGGAATCTCCGTCAAAAGGATTGGCAGGATGTGGCTGAAGCCGTCAATGCCCTCCATGGTCACTCCAAGAAGACTCACCGTACTGACGTCCAGTGCAAAAACCGAATCGATACCATTAAGAAGAAGTACAAGAACGAGAAGGCTAGAGTTTCCGCTTCCAACGGATCCCTAACCTCCTCTTGGCCCTTTTACGATCGCCTCGATGTTCTTATTGGATCTAATGTTTCTCTTAAAAAGCCATCCACCTCCATGTCTCCATCTCCGCCGATGGTGCGTCCTCTTTCCTACCGGAAAGCGCCGCCTTCGGGGACTGCAAATGCGGTTTCTGTGGCGATTCCGCAGAAGCGGCCATTGGCAGTGGTGGATGGGGGGCATTTTCGCAGGAATTATTCGGCTATGGCTGCAGCAGCAGCTGCTACAGAAGCAGAGGAGGAAGAGGAAGAGGAGGAGGAGGAGGAAGAGGAGGAGGAGGCGGAAGCAGATGCGGAGGAGAGGGGTATTGAGGAGGAGGAGGAGGGAGAAGGAGGGGGTATGAGAAGGTTGGCCGAAGCAATAGAGAGATTTGGTAAGATGTATGAAAGAGTGGAAGCAGAGAAGTTAAGGCAGATGGTGGAATTAGAGAAGCAGAGAATGCAGTTTGCAAAGGACTTGGAGGTGCAGCGAATGCAGATGTTCACGGAAACTCAAGTTCAACTCGAGAGGATCAAGCGTGGGAAGAAATCAGGTTCCAATGGTAACCAAAATTTCTTACCTTTCTTTATTTTTGGGTTGGGGGTTACTCTTTTTTATGTACAATTTTGCATTCATTTGTTTTAAAAATCAACTTCCTTTTAAGTGTTAATACAAATGTAATTACATTCACCACTACTCGTTTCTACTTCGTTAATATGTTTGGTTTAGTGTGTGAAGGATTAGAGGTACGCTTGGTGGGTATTATTTTAAGATGAAGGAGCTGCAATTTCTTATTTCTTATTTCTTATTGCATACCTTCGGAGTTTGAACCTTTCAGAATATGCATGAGATTTCTAGGATTTGCTCTGCACGTTTGCTCCTACAATGTCACAGTATGGTGTCTGCTTAGAAGGAATCGATTGTTCGAAGCTCCCTCGGGCTCTTTTTGTTTCCTCTACGTGATTCTTGAGACATAGTAGAGTCAACTTCTGGAGTTTTATGAGTGTTGTTTCCACTTGCATTAGGATCAAACCCTTTCAAGACATATACCCTTTTAATGATGATGTCTAATAGTTATGGTCTTTTTTGAAGAGGTTAGACTTTTCGCGCTGTTTTGCAAGTGGTGGACTGTTGATTTGGGGAAATCATCCATGAACTCAGTTTTCCAAGTTAACGAATTAACCGGACAAACTTCGCTAACTAGATTGAGGAGATTTTGAACTGCTTCTCTTTATCTTATCAATCCATCTTTCATCCTTCTACAGCGCATGTCCTTCACCTGATCTTCTCGTTTATACAATTATAATCTGGTACTTTAGGAGTTGATAGGTAGGTAAGGGTGCAAATAACCCATTAGTTTCTCCAAGTGAGAAATTTCTGCCAATTGTTTATACTAGGAACTCAAAATTGGCAGATCAAACTGCTGATTTTCCAATTCTCATCTCTAGTGTTCTTCTACTGGTTAAGATTGTAGTGATGGGAACATTTGGTATCATAAAGTTCATATTGCAGGCTAGTAAGTAGCAACTTGTAGACGGTACTAGTGTGTAAAATTAGCTGAACATTCGTATTGTGATTCACTCGTTATTCACGTGTGGTTTGATGCTGTAGTCATTTTAATATTGGAAGCTTTTAGTGATTGTAGCATGTTTAGAGATCGAGGGAAAACATTCTTTGTTATACAAGAGACAAACAGCTTTGGCACAGGGAATGTAGTCTGTAATGCTCGGTTGCAAATTTTTATAAAATCTTGGACACAAGAAATAGGAGAAGTTTAAAGGAGGGTGATGATCACTTAGGACTTTCATGGAGGAGGAGGAGGGTGATGATCACTTAGTACTTGCATGTTCCATTGTTCTTGTTAACCGGAAGCCTCTTAGCTTATTATGCCCCCACTCCCTTTTGATGTTATCTTGTCCCTATTCTCCGCTTGCATATTCTTCTTTGCTTGAATATAATTTGTTACGTATCCAAGACGAGGAATTGGAATTGGCATGCTTGATGAATACTTTTAACGTTTTTTGGAGTACATTAAATCTACTTGTCCAGACATTGGCGTCCTTCTTTCTTTTTCATTTTTGTCAACTTATATTTGGGTTCGTAACTATGAATGCTGCCAACTATCTTGCGAGTTATCTTCCTGTATAAACTTGTTGGATAAAATGATATCAATCTTGTCTGTCTGTCTGTCTGTCCTGGTAGAATCCGTAAGAATATCCAATCTTATTGTCTTGAATCTAAACCCCTTGGGACACTCATGGATCGACAAACTTCAATGATTTTTTCTTTCCCAATTGGAAACAGTTCTAGATGCCTCAAACTCAGTTTGAAGAACTCTGTGTAGTGCATTGTGAGGGGGTGGTCACGAGAAGAAAGGTGAAGAAGAAGGGTTTAAAATATCTCATGAGATTACAAGTTCCATTCTTTCTAATTTTCATTAACATTACATTTGTGTATGCATGGAATTCTTAGTTTGGCATAATGTGTTATTTGTTTCTGATTCCCGTACATCTTGTTGCTGTTTTTGCAGACATCTATGGTTAGTGACATTTGATAGTCCAACGTGTGTTGGAAGAGCTTCCACCTTTGTCTCGCCCTTCTCCAAGTACATATTATTGCAGCTGATATGGGTATAAGTGAACCGCTAAGGCAGATTGTTAGAGCTATTTCAATATTCTTATTGTTCTTAGCTCTCTCTTTTTTTTTTTTTTTTTTTTTTTTTTTTTTTTTTTTTTTTTTTTTTTTTTTTTTTTTTTTTTTTCCTTTTGTCTAATTGAATAGAAAAAGAACCTGAATTTGGAAGGGAGTCTGGACCTTTATTTAGTCTAAATGTATTCGAGTTAGCTGTAATCTTATCAGTTTTTTCTTCTTTTAAAATGATATTGTGATATTGTAGTCACCTTTCCTTCCTTTTGTTTCAATTAACTTGTGCTACATTTATTGATGTATTGTTTTATTCTATTTCTGTATACTTAAGCTTATAGTTTAGTCTTCAAGAACTTGCCCATGCAGTGGATTTTCTGAATTGAATGCCCCCTCCCCGTACCCCCACACTGACTGTTCTAAAAAAATAATGGAAATACCTTCCTTTTATCTTAAAACCGGAATAGATTAAACACTAGATATTATCTTTTTTGGGCTTTTCTTTCTGATGTTTATGAGCTTTTCGTTTTGAGTTCTTTCTCAAAGTTTAAAAACGCTTATGTTAGGGGGAAAAGTTTTCACACTTTAGAATGAATGTTTCACCACTAGGAGCTTATGTTGGAGGAGAGGTTTTCACACTTTAGAATAAATGTTTTACCACTAGTAGATATACCATTTGTATCGATTTAAATTCATTGTCAGTAGATATTATTGAGATCTCTGTCTAAGTTTATCACTAGTACATATTATTAAGATCTTACTAGATATTGTTGAGATTTTGATCTTCTAGATTTATTTTTAAAATATTAAGATATCTAAATTTTTATTTCTCAAATATATAAATATCTAAATAAAATATGAGTTAATAGGATTATTAGTATCGGGTAGGGGCTAGTGATATCTTTTTCTACATAGAATACTCTCTTTTCTCCGAGAAAGGCTTTGGCTTGGAGCAATTTAACCGCCCAAGTTCGATGAATGTATTTGCAACCTCCTAGCAATGGTCGCCCGTTCCAATGTCTAACGATCCAACCCGCATCAGCATTCAGCTTCCAAGAACCTACCTCCGACGCCTTCCACTGTCCTCTGTCAGCTTCCGAATTGGCTATATAGATTCTTTGGTGTACCCACAATGAATCTCCAACACCCCATCAATCCCAGTAATTGATCGAAGTCCACAAGCCCCTGCCCACAGACAGCGCACTTACATAAGAAAGACAATAATGTCACCAAAGCTTGGCTATACGCAGTGGGTACAATAAGGTATATTACCATATACCAGCCATGCTTTGCCAAGTTGAAAACTTTGAAGTCCCTCATGAAGCCTAACGCACCAACTCCTTTGCTGACACACCCACTTCCCAACCTTTTCCAGTGGATTTTCCTTTTGTCCAGAAAATGCACTTTCATACCTGACTTCCAACCTCGTCAGGCAATTAATTCCCCTTGCCTCTTCAAAGACGATCCCACGCCCCATTCCCCATGTCGCTTCCCACCCTTTCTACCTCCACATTCCAAATCCTCGCCATTAACGGTATCAAAGCTTCGATTGTTATGGACTTCGACTTCAATTTCTCTAAATACAGGATCTATGTCGGGACACACAGATATTATACTTCCCCACGCCTCCAAAAACGTGAAAGAATTTACATTTTCATCTCTTTTTCGTTCCGAATGGTATATTTCTTTCATTAAATAAACAGAAAACATTTCACAAATTCAGCAAGTAGTGTATTTTATGCCTCTATTTTTGTGTAACGACTGAATTGAAGGAGGAGTAATCAAAACATAACTAATGGGCAAGAACCCAAAAACAAATAACAACAAAATACAACAACTATGATGAGACAATGTTCATAGCCTCCGCTGCAGCTACATCTCTATATAATATATATATATATGCAGTGAAAAGATAAAATGTCGATGTTCTAGTTTGAAAATGACAAGACAGTAAGCAGAAAATTGTTGTGTTTACCTTAATGGAAAGAAGATGGGTAAGATAATATTGTGTGACATTGACATTGACATTGACATTGAGATTGGTAAAATATGTAGAATGATGAAGAAGAAGGGCCATCTAAGATAAGATTATTCAAAACCACAATTCTGGATAGCTACCATTATATAAATTCTCTGCACATCTCCCAACACCCTCTTCTTCACAACCAATATTGCAATTCTTCTTCTCCACTTCTTCCCTTCCTCACACCCATCTTCCTTTCACTTCCTGCAATTACTACAAATTTCAAAAATCAAGACAGTGCACCCATACACATATATATATATATATATATATTCATTTAGTATAAGTTTGTGGGGGGATATGTGACAGCAAAAAGAAATGGTATTAATATTATAAACCTATATGATAACTGCAATCTCAGTGTGGCGCATTATTGTAATACAATTGAGGGTTTATTATAATCCACAACTAAAAATATCTTTTTTTTTTCCTTTGAAATTTGTAAAAGAAATTACAATGTTCAAAAAAGAAAGAAAACTGTTGAATTATTTGTTTTGGAATCCTGCATGAATGGGGAAAATAGTAGTGAAGAGCCACATAAATGAAGAGCTAAAGATGGAATTTTTAGTTGATTTGAAATTTGAAAATTATTGAGCTAATTAATCAAACACTCTATGATAAACCTCATTAATTACTTTGTAATACGGCATTTTGAAGCTATCAAAATTTCATCCATTTGAAATTAGCAATCAAATTATCCTGAATTAATATCAACTATAGTCTAATAATACATATATAAAATTAAAAAAGCATTAGGTAGGTAATTAGATTACATGGTCACAATACATGTGAACATGACATTGGATGGTAATGATGATGATGATGGATGTCCATGCATGGGGAGCACAAAATCGAATAGAATCAGAAAAGGGCCAAATCTATTGAAAAGTAAACATTTTAGTTTGAAATATTAAATAAACAGTGTGGTTTTGGTTGATATGATGAGAGAGAAGAGGGTGTGAATGAATGGCACACCAATCGAAGCTATATTTCTGATGCATCAGAAAGGGTAAAAAGATGAACATCTATTTTCACATTTTTTTTCTTTCCTTTCTAAATAATGGTGTATGATGCAAATTAGGGTTTTCAGAAGCATCCTCAAATTAGGGTTTTTTTTTTATATATAATTATTATTATTTTTAATGCACTGAGAAGAGAACTCCCACTCCTCATGATCCGATCATGATTTCCCAATCAACCCATCTTCTTAAATATATATATATATATATATATATATATATTTCTATCATGATTCAAAGCATGGGTTTTCGAATTATATTTCAAATTCTAAATTTTAAATTCCCAAGTGTTGAGCAGTATGGGATGATGAGATGACATTATTAAAAAAAAAAAAATTGGATGAAGGAAGAATTATAATCACCATGGAAATGGATGAAGGAGGGATCAAGCCATCTGGGTCAAAGCAGCGTTGGTGTCATTATTATCGTTGCCCTTAATAATCTGATTCCTCTTCTTCTTCTTCTTCTTCTTGTACGGAATTCCTCTGGCCTTCGCTTGACAATCCTTCACCTCTCGTAGATACATCCGAATGGCTCCATTTCCAAAAGGGTTCACCTCTGGGGATCCGCCGCTCTCCTCGTAGGCGGCACGGAGTCGGCCGATCAGGGCGTCCAGGCTGCCCCAAGCCTGTTTCAATGGGCAAGGGCAGGGAGCAGGCGGGTCGGGCTGCCCGAAAAACACACACCCATGTGAGTGAACTCTTGTTTTTCCGAACTGATCCAGGTATCGAAGAAATTCAAGAACATGGTTATAGTTACAGTGGGATAAGGGCACTGGGGGTGTTTGGTTTTTTAGATATTGCCCAAAAGTGTTCCAATCTCGTCGCTTCTGCGACTCGTAACGGCTCAAAGGAACAACACTGGGCTGAGTGGGCTGTGGCGGAGGCTGCAGCTGTTGTTGTTGATCGGCGGTGGCCGACCGAGATGACGAAGCTTCACAACTTGGTGTGTCGCCTAACATGATTATGGAGGAGGAATTTTGGGAAGCAAATTAAATGAAATGACAGCGAAAAAATAAATAGGAATTTGGGTTGATGCAGAGTTGAAGAAAGATTAAAATCACATCTGGGGGTCTTTTGAGAGGACATATCATGGGCCCATTCAACCTGCTTTTCTTCCTCTCTCTCTCTCTCTCTCTCTCTCTCTTCTTCCCCTCCGCCATTAACATAAATTTACTCCAACTTTATAAAGTTCCCTCCTTTTTTTTTCTCTTCTGCAATTGAAATGATTACGTAATATATATATTTTTCAAGGATTACGGTTTCAACTCCAGTTTCAAATTCGCTTTCATTATTATATCCTCAGATTAATTAGCGAGTAAGTTCAATTAATTAATTAATGAGTTATTTCTTTTTGTACAATGAAATTGGTAAAATTCAAAGCAACAGCAATATTAGGCTTTAATTCTTTTCATTTGAATTAATAAATGAATGGAGTTTGATTTATTAATAAAAAAAGAAAGGTTATATTCCTTATCAACTTTTATAAAGATTGATCTCATACAATCATTATGCACGAAGACAATAATAATTTAAATGCCAATTCAGCAATATTATATGATTAAATTTGAGCAGCCTCGAGTGAGTGGAGATGATCGCACTGGATCTGCTCCTATAGCCATATAATCAATAATTCACCAATTTAATCTTATTTTATATATATATATATATTTGCTTTTCAACCTAACCACATTTTTACTTACATTAATTAAACAATGCCTCACCAGCATTAGGGTTTTACATCGCTGGCTGTAATTAATGAAGCTGATTTGATTAATTACTATTTGTATCATTTTCTTGTACAATTAATGCAATGCTTTCCTATTAAACTTGGAGGGGGTTTGAAAGCTTGTTTTAATGGGTTAGTTAGTGTGTCGGTTTTCATAATTAATTTGGATATTTCTTTTTTTGGACGCTAAGAACAGTCATTTAACCCTAATAAGCTAGTTGACACTAATTCACGGACAACTTTTATATTCTATACTTGTATTTAATATCCCAATTTTGTTAGTTAATTAAATTTGTGGTAATTGATTCCAATCGATTCAGTTAACTAAACACAAGTGTAATTAATAGAGCACAAAACAGACAACTGGAGTACGAAGAAAAAGAAGAGGAAGAAGAAAGTGGGTATTATTTGGATTTGTTTTTTGATCTTAAAAGTTGGGAAAAGGAGAAGAGGAGACACAAAAGAGGGAGACATATCTGCGTGACAATGGGTCCAAACATTAGGTTATGCGTACGATGCAATTAAGTGGTTGTTTGGAAGTGCACCCTTTTTCTTTTTTTGTTTAGACCTGGATTCTAATGTCTCTGTCTTCACCTTCACACATCTTAGAATATAATCCAGAATTTAGCGATGAATAATGCAATTACAAATGGTGGAAAGGAATAGAGCTACCCACCTCCCATCTCAGAATTTCGCGTCTTTGGTTGCCCTAAAAGAAAAGACCTCGCGAATCAGATGGGTCCAACGTTTTGTGTTGAGGCTATGCTTAATCCAACTACGCCAACCCCGACCATGTGGGCAAAGGCCTTAAGGGTTAGGCCCATCTTGAGCCAAGTGATCGTGATATAACCCATGTTTCAGATTTGAATTGCACTATATAATATATGAGTCTTCTCTTGTGCATAGAAAATGAATTATAATAATAAAACACAAAATTAAAACTAGTAGGTCAAGATAATTAATATTTTACCCCAAATGTCACAAGATTCAATTAATGATAATTAAGTATGTAGCGTATGAATATATGCAAAGTATGCATCAGAGGATCTACTGTGGGACAGCTTTCTCCTAACTTTGTCCTCTATTATCTAATATTCCACAATCACACGTGGCCAGTGGGACCTATGGCTGGCTAGCGTTGAATTAAGACATTATTATTATTTTCTTTTTCTTTTTCTTCCTCCTTCCATTCGATTAGAAATAAATAAATAAATAAATATACATATAAGTTATTTAATTAATAAGTGTTGAAAAAAAGTATGAGGTGGATTGGCATGTCATTCTTTACACATTCCAATTAAACAACTTTGAAGTAAATATGTATCATACCTATAATTCAATATTCCACTAAGTGTGTGTGGATCTATATACTCTTTATTGATTAGAAGTGGCTTTATAAGATGCAATTCTCTTTTTGGTGTTGTGTGTCTACAAATGACTTGAGTAGCTAATAAGAAAGCAAGTAAGTAAGATGATTCTGCTGTAGGCTTTGAAAAAGTTCAAATAAGATCTATATAAACATTATGATATCATTGAAAATTTGTTGTACAAATTATGGAATAAATTAAATACCTTCTTTTTGTAGAACACAATTAATTAGACGATGGATGGAATGGACACAGTATCTTAGTTATATGATTGGTGGGGTGAGCAGTGAGCAGTGAGCAGTGCGGGCGGGCAGGCAAGCAAGCAGGCAGGCAGGCAGGCAAGCAAGGCGGGTAGGTAGATAGAGTGGTTGGTGCCCCTTTTGGGCAATTTTCAGTCTCAGTCTCAGTCGCTTTCTCTGATGAATGCATAATTGAATCAGTACAACCAGCTGATCAAAATTCAGACCTAACATCACTCACTCTTTCTTCTCTCTCTCTCTACAAAACTAATAAACCAATAAAAAATATGTATTCCTGTCTCACTCGGGGCACCATCTAAGCGTGCCCAAGCAGAGTTGGGCCACCTTTCGGCTTTTGGCCCAGCGCCTGTTCGAGCCATGGTTGGTTGGTTGGTGCTGTGGTCCACTTGGTGTGTTTTGGGCCTGTTTAGACAGTTGCAGGAAGAGAGCATCCAAGGGAAGAAGAGTTGCCAAGTAACGCCTAATTCCTAATTACAAAACCAAACTTACCATGAATTTATAATAATAATAGAGTTGCCAAGTAAAAGAAGATTTGAGCTTATTTGATCGGGAAGTCCAACCAGCACTGTGTTTGGTAAGGATTGTTGGGTAAAATTCAACCCTTTACGACGATTCGATAGAACTTAAAGTCATTTGGATATGTTTTTAGGTAAAGGTGTTTGAGACTTTGAATTAGTGATTATGATCCGAAACTGAATCATAACGCTTCTAGACTAATATCAGACGATTCCTATGCTCTATTTGGTACACAAGTTTATGATTTTAATAAATTTGAATATGGGATGGTAGGGTTATGTGTTGCATAGCTTTCTCCAACTTTGAAGTAATTAAAGAGAAGCACTCAAAAATAAAGGATGCCTTTTTGTGTTGTTTTTATTGCATATAAAAACTTGCTTTGCTGGTTGACATAGATAAAGAAGAATCTTGTATATTAAAAGAAAAATATATCCCCCATATCAAAACCTGCTTTCTTTCCTTATCATATAATTTAATTTGCAATATGAAAGAAATAAAGAGAGATAGATAGATAGATAGATACTTTGAACACTCTGTCCATACCACTAAATTTCACGTTTAATATCAACAACAAAACTTCATCACCACCCATTGGGTTTCAACCATAAAAAAAGCAGGCTTTTTGGAAGATGGATATATCAACAAAGCTCTCAACTTTAAGAATCAAACCAACTTTAAGAACAATCTCACCCCAAAGCTGAGAGAGAAAGAGAAAAAGAAAGAATTATGTGAAACTTAAACTAGAAGAAGGACACCGGATGCACCATTTATTCCTAAACTTCTTTTCCTTTTTCTTTCATAAAGAATGGAAGACTAATCAAGAGCCAAATTCCAATAACAAAAAGTTCCTTGCTTCTTTTTTATAAAGAAAAAATCTCTTTAGGTTTGTAGCAAAAGTGCGATCAACCAATATGGGTGCTTGGATTAGGAACTACTTTTCAGATACTTTTTTTTTTTTTTTTTTTTTTTTTTTTTTTTTTTTTTTTTTTTTTTTTTTTTTTTTTTTTTTTTTTTTTTTTTTTTTTTTTTTTTTCTTCTCTTTATTGATAGAGAAGCGCGTGATGATGACATGAAGCAAATGATCTATACACCATACCAATTTCAGTAATTGGCGTCTGTTTAGTACCATTGATTCTCATGTTCTATCAACCACTTTTACCTCCATCACTTCCATCAATATATAAACCCGTTTCCCTATATCTCTTCTCTGCACAAATCTACCCATCAAAACAAAACCAAACAAAACAAAACAAAAACCCACTCTCGCTCTCTCTGTTTCATCATATATGGCTGAGGTTCACTGTAGCAACGCTGGTGGAATTAAGCTCTTTGGCACCGTCATCACTTTACAGACCAGAAGCATCAAGGAGGAGCCAGAGAAAGGTGGTGGGGGTGGTGGCGATCAACCAGAGATGAAGAGGCCGGAAAAAATAATTCCGTGTCCAAGATGTAAGAGCATGGACACCAAGTTCTGTTACTTCAACAATTACAATGTTAATCAGCCCAGACATTTCTGCAAGGGTTGTCAAAGGTACTGGACGGCAGGTGGGGCGCTACGGAACGTGCCCATCGGAGCCGGCCGCCGGAGAGCCAAGCCGCCGCTGCCTAATTGTCGAATCCTTTCCGGAGAGCTTCCCGAGGATTATGGGCAGCTTTACGATGCTGCTTCTGGGATTATTCATCAGCTTGAATTGGATGCGGTGGAGGGGTGGCATCTCACGGTGGCAGAACAGGATTTCGCCCAAGTTTTCCCTCTCAAACGCCAGAAGATTCAACACGGTCAAACGTCTTGAATTAACCCCATCTTTTTGTCGATAATTTTATGTGGAAAATAGAGAGGTATACAGTTTTAAATTTAGTGGATATATGATTATGTACATATTTTGATCTGTGGTTAACGATGATGATCGATGATTCATATCGCCGGATGGGCGATGTGGCTTGAGATTATGAATGATAAATTAAACGATAGGGTTATAATATATATGCATACATAGCGTGTGATGCACGGCATTCACATAAAGAAAGAATGCAAGAGAATAAATTGAGCCTTGGATTAAAATAAATAGAGTTTATTAAAGAGGGTAGAGTGCATACTTTAGATAAGGAGAAGCAGGGCAGGGCAGGGCAGGGCAGGGCGGGGTTAATAATATTATTTAATGGAATAAGGAATACAGAGAGTGGGGGCCTCAAACAAGAAGGCCAGCCTCATCGTATCCAAGCTGGCGAACAACCTCCTTGCACCCGGGATCAGACTCCTTCCTCATAAAGCCCAGTGGGTTGGCTTGACGAACAGGGCTTGTGATACCATTGTTGGCAGTGATGCTGACTCTGGCCCGATGAGCAAATCCATCACTAGGAATCTCACTGCATTCCTCCTCGCTACTCTTCACCAGCGACACTTCGCAAATCTCCTCCTCACGGTCTCCCTCCACTTCAATGCGGTATTTTCCGTTGTTGTCGGTCTCCGCCTCCCTACTCAGGGTCACGTTTCCTCCTTCCTCCTCCCGGCATTCCAACCTCACCTTTGCTCCTGATAACCAATTCAATCATTTAAGAACCCCAAATACACAACCTAGGATACACAACTTACTTACCTTCCAAGAATGTGCTGATGCGGGTGACGATCTGGATGCGGCAGGTGTCACAGTAAACACGCCCGTCGACGAAGAAACGATCTTTGTCGGAGAGGGTGACGTCGATGAAGGAGAGGAAACAGAGGGCAGAAAGAAGGATGATAGCAGCCGAGGATTTTGGCATTTTCATTATGATTATACCCCTGCCCTCCTGCCCTGCCCTTGCTTCTTCTGTTGGAAAGATAAAATTGAAGTGAAATGGAGAGGAGGAGTGATTTGAATGATGGGAAAGAGAGATCCTTTATAGGACGGGATCTCATTGTTTCCCTAAAGTTGGTTCGGATTTTGTGGATGAAACTCCTTTAACCTCCTCCTCCTCCGTAAATTTGTTAATCAAATTATTAGAAATACATCTCAATACTATTACAAAACATTAAAATCATATCATTCTAAATACAAGAATTATAATTAAAATGCATGACCTTTAACCAAATCAATAAATAATTTTAAATATATATCATATGTGTAATTAAGTTAAACGGAACCTTAGTTTCAACTTATTGAATAAATAATTTTTAGAAAGTAATATCAATATGTTACAAAAAGAAATATATATTTTGTATCTAAAACTATATATTAGGGGCAAAATAGTTTGAATGATAAGATAAAATTATTTATTTTATTTCAAAACATAAATATTTTTTTTACCAAAAAAAAAAAAAAGATTATTTTATTATTTTTCTAGAATTAAAAAAAATTAATTAGATAAATGAATAAAAAGAATGTAAAACTATAAGGCGACTTCGCCCATTTAAAAAATACCAAAATTATTTCTCTTAAGCGTCTTGCGATTTACGAGGCAAAATTACAGGGCCAGACGGAATCTACTTCTTCTTGTTCAGACTTCCCCCATCGACAGAGGAAATAGAGCGAGAAGAAGAAGACTATGGCCGCTAACGATAAGGGATCTATATTGCAATTCGCACCATTCCAAAGCTTGGTGGACGAAGGATTCTGGCATAGACTCTCTTCCTTGAAGCTCAATGAACTAGGCATCGACGATTCCCCTATTCCAATCACTGGTCCGCTTCTTCTTCTTCTTCTTCTTCTTCTCATTCTTTCTTTCTTTCTTTCTTTTGTTGTGTGATTCTCGATTATTAGAGGCCACAAATTATGGTGTCGATGATTTTGTATTTCAGTCGATCTCATGACCTAAGGTCAGGTCTTGACTCCAAATCAAACTCTTTGACGAGGAAAGAATGTTGGTTAATCAATGTGATTAAGCGGAATCATATATTTGATGAGTATACTGTTTGAATTTGAATACTTGTTTGTTTTGGATATTCTTTAAATTCTAACTTCTGATAATATGTAGTTTGATTTTGCTTATATGCAATGGTTCTCTCTGCAACCAGAAAAGAAAATTAAAGATACATAATTTGGATCTTTATACTTCGTCAATGCATTAGCATTCTTTAGATGGCTTACTTTGGTTATTCACAGCGCGTATGTATTAAGACAATCAAGAACCATCTCCTTGTAGGTTTCTTTGCACCTTGTGCACATTCTCAAGTGTCAAATCATTTGACGCTTCTATCTGAGTCACTGGCTTCCGAAGTAAGCAGCGAATCATCAGCACCATTAACTACTAAAGGCAACAGGAATAGGTGCTCTGTTCCTGGAATTCTATACAATACAAATACTGTGGAAAGCTTCCATGCCCTTGACAAGCTAAGCTTACTAAAATCTGAAGCAAAGAAGGTATATTACGCTCAATGATTTTCATTTCTTGGATACAGTACACGGGCAGTGGCAATTTCTATTTTTTGTTTAGGGTAAAGTTATTACATCACAAAATCTTGCAGATTGTTTGCGTTAAGTTTGTGTTACAAGCTCAATTCTCCATTGTCGTGACTAGATTTGGGAGGATATTCTCAGCGGAAAAGCTATAGAGGATAGTTCAGTACTTGCAAGATTCCTTTTGATCTCATTTGCAGACTTGAAGAAATGGAACTTTCACTATTGGTTTGCTTTCCCTGCTCTTGTTCTCAATCCTCCAGCAACTGTAGTCGAACTGAAACCTGCTTCACACTGGTTTAACTTGGAAGAAGTATGCTAGATTTTAACTATGTCTATATCCTGTTGTTAAGTGTTCAAAAAGCTATTGCAATTTTTATATTTATATTTTGTTTTAATATATAGGCTGAATCAGTTTCCTCAAGTTTTGCTCAGTGGCGCAGCTCAAACCTAACTTCTGGTAGGCTTGCATTCTTAGCTGTTTCAGAGTTTTATAGATTACAAGTAAAGTTTTGGTTTTTTACTGTATAATTTTCATCCTGCTGCAGATACACCTTTTTTCTTGGTGAATATTGATTCAAGTTCTCAAGCTAGCATTAAGCATCTGAGAGATTTTGAAGCCTGCAAAAACAATGGGGAAAAGGTCTGTTGGGGTTACTCTTCTAGTAAGGAAAGTAGGCTTTTACTAGACAGATAGTTCCATTAGATAGTTTGGTGATTAAAAGTGCTATGAGCTCTCATGACCATACAATTATTGATGAAACTTTCTTATAGCCCGTCTAGTCTCTTCTTGCAGCTTCTTTTTGGCTTTTATGACCCCTGTCATCTTCCAAATAATCCTGGTTGGCCTCTTCGCAACTTCCTAGCTCTAATTTACTCGAGATGGAATCTGAAGTCGGTAAACTTTTTATGCTACAGAGAGAACCGTGGTTTTGCAGATCTTACTTTATCTCTTGTTGGTAAAGCTTTGATTGATGATACCCAAGGTAGTGAAAGAAGTTTGTAGCAGCGCCAGTTTTTTCTCTAACCCACAAAGTAGCTCAGCCAACTTTTTCTTCTTCTTTTTTCTATAGGGTTTAGAGATCAACAATGCATGCCTAATGTGGTTGGATGGGAGCTGAACAGAGGGAAGAAATGCCATAAATCTATTAACCTTGCAAAATCCATGGACCCAACTCGGTATATTTCTATGTTCCAGGCATTTTGGTCGAGGAAGATGATGTGCAGTTATTGACTGATATGTACATTGTTGACAGGTTAGCTATATCAGCTGCAGATTTGAATTTGAGACTAATGAGGTGGCGTGCTTTGCCTTCTTTAAACATAAACATCTTGTCTTCTCTCAAGTGTCTCTTGCTTGGGGCAGGTACTCTTGGATGTCAAGTTGCTCGTATGCTTATGGTGAGTGCTTTGTTGAAAGTTGTACTTGTAGTTAGTTAGTTTCTATCTATTTGTTGACAGGTGACTCATTTGTAGGCATGGGGTATACGGAAAATTACACTAGTTGACAGTGGAAGGGTAGCTATGTCGAATCCATTGAGGCAATCACTTTACACAATGGAGGACTGCCTCAATGGTGGTGAGTTTAAAGCTGAAGCAGCAGTTAAAAGTCTCAATCGAATTTTTCCCGCCATGGTAAAATTTGATGCATGACCCCAGCAGAGAGAAAATTACCTGATTTTATCATTTTATTCATTTGTGGTTTTTTCTTTTCCTTTAAAAAAAAAACTAGGAAGCCGAAGGTGTTGTGATTTCCATACCAATGCCTGGGCATCCTGTTTCAGACAATGAAGCAGCCAGCATGCTTGATGATTGTAGACGACTCGATGATTTAATTAATTCTCATGATGCAGTTTTCTTGTTGACTGATACTAGGGAAAGTCGGTGGCTTCCTACACTTCTATGTGCCAATACAAACAAGGTATATTTTTGTTGAAGAAATTGTGTTTAGGCTTCTCATACTTCGCATTTCAATTTATAATGTATTTTACTGGTTTGCAGGTTACAATCACCGCAGCTTTGGGGTTTGATAGTTTCTTAGTTATGCGCCATGGAGCTGGTCCTTCTGGTTCCTGCCATGATTCCACATCTCAAACCAATATAGCCAATCTTTCTTTAAATGCTACAAACACAAAGCAGAGATTGGGCTGTTACTTCTGTAATGATGTTGTTGCGCCCATTGATGTAATTTTCTCAAGCTCATGTGCTGCAGTTTGGTTGTTGTTTTTTTTTTTCGTGCTTATTCAAGCTGCATGTTCTTGCAGTCAACTGCCAATCGCACATTGGATCAACAATGCACTGTTACTCGCCCAGGGCTTGCTCCCATTGCGTCAGCCATTGCAGTTGAACTTCTGGTTGGAATTTTACATCATCCCGAAGGGTAAGCCTTCTCAGACAGTGGTGGTAAAGGCTTGAAATTTCTTTGTGTCTTGACTACTGAAAAGTTGCTTAGGTGTGAGAAGTCGAGTTAATGGGGGTTTATACTTGGTTTCAGAGGTGCTTGACAATGCCTTATTGGTCTTTACTCCAAATTGTACAGAATATATGCTGAATGTGAACTATCGAACTCTGGAGCTTCTGAGCAACCTCTGGGTATCTTGCCCCATCAAATTCGAGGCTCCCTCTCACAGTTTTCTCAGATGACACTTGTTGGCCGTTCATCAAATACTTGTACAGCTTGCTCCAGCCTGGTAAGTTAATGCCACACACAAAAACGCACAAAGACACATACACACACACACACAAAAGTTGATTCAAACATTTCAATTTATATTCGTAGACCTTGACGTTTGGATTTCGGGACTAGCATAATCGACCTAATTAGAGGTGTAGAAGAAAATGGATTCAGTTATTTTACCTGCTCGTACCAATCCAATATCCAATTATTTTGGACATTTGGATGGTTCAAACAGTTGGATTAGGTGGTAACTATCCAAAGTGATACAACTGTCCTCGCGAAAATTCCTTCCAACACCATTTCCTCTTGAAGCACGCTCATACAAAGATTATTGAATCTAACTGAAGATGTAATGGCTGCAACTCTGGGAACACTGATATCAAATATGGAAAGAGTTTCAGTTTCTGAACCACTAAACCAGGAAGGTCATTCAGTAATAGTGTAGAGAGGATGTAGCCTGAATCTACTAGAAGTTTCTTCTCTCATTTTCTAAACCTGTTTATTCAAGGAAGATTAAGCTTAACAGGTTCAATTGCTGAATGCTTCTTGGGTTGTTTTCCCCTTCTTTTAATATCAAGCATCAAGCATGATTCATGATGATATTCATTCATTCTGCAGGTTGTATCTGAATATCGTAATAGGGGCATGGATTTTATTCTTCAAGCGATCAACCATCCAACTTATTTGGAAGATTTGACCGGACTTACAGAGTTGATGAAATCAACTAGCTCTTTTCAACTGGACTGGGACAATTACACGGATGGTAGTGGTGATGATGATGATGATGGATGTATCGAAATTTGATGCAGACATTCAATGTATTGTATAACATCAATTCAATAACATTTTTTGTACATAAGCACTGACTTAAAAATCAAATTCCAAATTTAATATTTTTCTTGAATCCTTCTAGTTAGTCATGTATGTGTCTTGCAGATGGTTCTTTCTTGGTTCAATACATAACTGTGTTCAAATTTCATTATCTATAGCTATTGCAAGTTCGACTTTTCATCTATTAGCTCATATAAACAGAAATTGTTAAAGTGATATCAATCCATTCATCAACCAAATTTCATTATCTATAGCTATTGCAAGTCCGACATGTTTGAAAAATACATTTAATGAACAAATATGGCATCTGGATGTTACATTAAATACGACAGCCTCTTGGTAGATTCGGGATTCATATTTCAGAAATTTGTTCCCTTTGTTTGGTAGCTCTACCGACAACATCTTTTAGATATATTTAAGACATTAAATTTACTTAATCACAATTAATATTCACAGATCTGGACGCCTCGATTATTACACAAATTCTTCCCCGAAGCTGATTCAAGCTATTATTCTAAGATGGAAAAATTAGTACAAGGTTAGACTAATTATATTATTAGGCGATCAAAATAATAATAATTAAGAGAAAATGTGTTTCTAATACCATAAGAGTATTAGCGGTATCCTTCGTACGTTCTTTCTTGTTCTTTTTAATTGAAATCGTTCATTTAAAATTTAAAAATGAGACTGTTGAGAGGAGGCATGGGATGATATTAAGTATTGGGTTCGGGGGAGTGCATGTGCCTCCACTTCCCTCTGGTTGCTTCTCTATATCACTCTAATAATTCATTCAATCTTCATTTCTTTCTCTGATCATGAACCCCATGTCCTCCATTTCTTCTTCTTCTTCTTCTTCTTCTCCTCAAACTCCCATTTGGGTTTACTCAAATGTGAAGCACCGGTTCTTCAATCGAATCCGAAGATTCCTCTGTTCCAAAACGCCCAAAAAACCGTATGTCTCGCCCACTCATTCAATCACTACTACACCCAAAATCACAGCAACTAGTAATGAAGTTATACGAGTTGCAGATGCTGATTGGAACTGTAGTGGCGGAGTTAGCGGTGGTGCCGATGAATCCGCGGCGGCGTTACGAAGGACAGTGAAGAAGCTCCACTTCGGGGACTGGGAAGAGAAGGAGATTGCAGCCGACGAGATTGGTAAAATGTCTAAAGAGGACGTGAAGGTGAAGAAATTAGTGGTGGAACTAGGGGTTGTGCCGGCCTTGGTTTCAATGGTGGCGTCCGATGCCATGGGGCGGCCGGAAGTGGCTGTGAAAGCGTTACTTGAGCTTGCCAAAGGAAGCTTCGAGTAAGTCACTTAAAATCCTTCAAAATTTTCTGCTCCCTGTTTTATTACGTGCATCCATGTGTGAGTGTTCTGTATTTTACGATGAAAAACTTTCCCCCAGTAGTAAATAGAAATTCTGGATTTCCATATCAATTTGAAGACAGAACCTTACTCAAAGACGTGCAGCAATAAGGATTTCCTCGATATTCCAAATTTGGAAAAAAGGGTATACATAAACATAGACAACCAAAAGCTCCCATACATTAATTAAGATAGAGAGAGGAAATTTTTTAAGGATATGGGTCAACTCTATATTCTGGCAAGATAGCCATGTGCTTAATGCAGTGAAGTCTTGGATCTGTCTTAATTGAAATCAGAATCAAATGGTTAGTTCGCTTTTAGTTTATGTAATTGTATATTGAGTTTGTGGTTAGTCTTTTACCTGCCTCTAAAGTCTGAACCGTTGTGGCCAAAGTCAGCATTTGGTATTTGGCCTGACTTGTGTTTTTTCAAGAATCTCTACCAAAAGTTGGACTTATTGTTCTTTGTTTGTACTATTCTTTAGGAACAAAGCCCTCATGGTGGAGGCAGGAATCTTACACATACTTCCAAGTGACATCCGAGCCATGGATGAATCAGCAAAACACGATTTTGCAAGACTGTTGTTGTCACTGTCGTCTCTGATCAATTCCCATTTCACTACTGCCTTACAGACGAATGAAAATGCCATCCCATTTATTGTGGAGATTCTAGATTCAACCTCAAATTTCGAGACCCAAAAATGTTGCATTGAAACTCTGCATAACATCTCCACAGTTCTAGAAAATGTAGGGCCTCTGGTCTCAAATGGTGTGGTGCACACCCTCTTGAAAATGTCCTCATCGAAAGCCCTCTCACATAGAGCCCTCGCAGCATTGGGAAACTTGGTGGTGACTTCACAGGGAAAGAAGGCCATGGAGAGCAGTCCAATGGTCCCGGATGCCCTCATAGAGATTATGACATGGGAGGACAAACCAAAATCTATCGAGTTTTCCGCTTATATCTTAATGATATTAGCTCATCAGAGCACAGAACAGAGAGAGAAGATGGCGAACTCAGGCATTGTTGCAGTGCTTCTTGAAGTGGCATTACTAGGCAGTCCACTGGCTCAAAAGAGGGCGCACAAGCTGTTACAATGGTTTAAGAATGAGAAGCAAGGAAAAATGGATCCACATTCTGGGCCACAGACGGGTAGAATAGTGATTGGGTCGCCTGTAAATCAGAGAGAGGCTCAGGAAGGGAGGAACATGATGAAGAATTTGGTGAAACAGAGCTTGTATAAGAATATGGAGTTGATTACTGGACGGGCCAATGTGGGAGATCCAGCAAAACTCAAGAGATTGGTCATCAGCACCAGTTCTAAAAGTTTACCTTTTTAATCTCTGATGTTAACTCCTGTGCTCCATATTTTTTAAATCAGAAGCACAAAAATACCCCTACGTAGCAGAAGAAAGCGAGCATCTTCTAGTGAAGCAAGAAATGAACTTTCAGAAAGGGCTCTCATTTTTGTTGTACAGCTTTGATCATGTGGAGAAATAAAAGAAGAGCAAAGAATTTTTTTTTTTTGTTCCATTATTACTATTATTATTGTAAGAATAGATAGAGCTTTCATAAACTCGACTCGAGTTTTCAATCTATATCTAATGAATACCACTGCAATCTTATATCTAATAAACTACAGAGTAGGCTCAAGCAAAAACAATTTTCGAGAGACACTGATACGATTCGGATTTCAGACCTAAACACTAATGACGAGAAGGCCTAAACATTAGATGAGAAACAACAAACCTCAAGCCTCAGAGTACATATTCCAGTTCAGAGGAGATTTTCAGATGAACAATGGGAAAGTATGAATCACATAAGCTAGTCCAATCCAGTAATTTGAATTTAACATTGATAATCTGAGTTAAGGAACATTCAAATGAATCAATAACAAAGCATCATATAATATAATGAGCTATCTTGAGCAGTCATTCGAAGAGTGAATTAGACAACATTGCCTAATTTACCTTAGAAATAGTCAAAGCGAGAAAAGCTTAAGCACGCTTTCCGCTGCTAGGGTTGGACTTTGTGCAGAGAACCTTTCTACCCTTGGCACGTCTGCGCTTTAAAACAGCTCTACCATTGGTGGTTCGCATTCGTCGGCGAAAGCCATGAGTCCGAGCTAAGGATTTACGCGACCTGTTTCTTTTGGTCTGACATAGTGCAGCCTTTCCAGCCCTAACCACTAAGCTCCGACGCTTTCCTTGTCCGACCCCAATTTTAGGACTCCAATCCAAACCCAACGACAAGCCTGCAAATTAGTACTTCTTTCGCATAAAGTTAATGTTACAAAAATCTATATCAACAGAACTAACTATCGCTAGAGAAGCGCCGCAATGTTGCAGGAAGCGGGGCATAGTCTTTCCCCTCAACAAGTAAAACACAACGGATAATTCACTTACAATTCGGTTACCGGAAAGAATAAAAAGGAAAATACAAGAGAATTCATAACAAATCGAATGCAAGCATGAAGTTATCAAATCCAACGACCTTGAACGTATACATTTCGAAATGCAAGGGCCCTAGAAAGTAATAAACGCACAATACAGCAAATAAATACTTCAGCGAACTACTTCCTGTAAACTCCATTACATTGGCATATGAGCAAGCAATAATGCGAAATCATTAAATTACTTGAACTAATACATAAATTGGAGTGAAATAATCCCTCACCTGAGAAAGATGAAGAACACGAAAGGGAGGAAGAAGGAAGAAACGAACAATGAAGCAGTCCAGGACGGGCAGAAGCGTTGTTTGCGGTATTTAGAGATATGGAGGAAGTTCTAGAGCCAGTGGAGAATACAAGTGAAGCTGAAGGAACGCGGACGGTCGAAACACATAGGGACGAAATTACCGATATCGCTGCCATTGTTAGACCGACTGTTGTTTCCCCCTTTCAGCTAATTTTGGTTTGGAGGAAGAAGGAGCCTTATCCTGATATGGTTGTTCAGATCGCGCCGGGTTTCTCAAGATCACGACCGCATCCGGACAGGCCCAATTCAAGATCCATATGGGCTCTTTAAAGCCCATCACTCATGTGCTTCACACGTGTGTATATTTAAAAGAGAAAAATAAAAAACCACTTTTAACGATCAACTTCATTCATATCCAGGTTGTATTATCCGTGAGCATCAGGTAAGAACCAACTCATTGATCTTACAGAGTTATGAACAACAAAAAATATGAACACATATTTATAATTATCATCCGGTAATATAAGAGGTAATTTCAGTCACAAAAATAAAGTTATATTAATCTACAAAGTCGACCGATAACAACAAAACGTCACAATGAATCATCTAGAAGGTAATTCAACCATGGAGAGAGACGAAGAAAGCAACTATTGGACAATTTATGGCACCATGCCTGAGAAATTGATGATAATTTTTGTGTTCATAGCAATAAGGATGAGAGCTGAGTGGTTGAATATACCCTACAACCAGTCGCATCGCATCGTGCAAACTATATTTCAATACGAAGAGAAACAATACAATATTTTAATATTAATTTAATGATGATGTGCAAAAAGATAAATACACACGGACTAATCGAAGTATAATGGAGGGTAGGAGTGAACATGATTGGGTAAATATGATAGTTGTGACGAGTAATAGAGTGGTTGAAACACGCCTGAAAAGCATAGAAGTGCTTCTTTTCTGAAATGTTTTTGTGCAGCTTGATTTGAAAATAAAGGGAGGAGTAGGCTCACCAAATTGCACTCGTAAGTGGGCCTCCAGCTTCAAATGAAGACAGCAACACTAGCCCACCAGCAGCAGCCTTATTTGAAATGATAGCAGATTGACCATTTTTAGAGGATAATTAGTTAGTCTAAATCTTAACTTTGAACAACCAAACATTGATTGTTTACTACTTACTTAACCAAACATTGATTGTTCCTTAAGCTTGTTCATTGATGAGCATGACCAATTAGGAGGCTCCAATCATTCATAATCACCCACCCACCCACCCTCCTTTCTTCTCCCTTCTCCATTTATATCCAAACTTTACACAAACAGATGTTTATTTTATATGGGGATATTTTTAAATTTTACTGTCAAACCTTAAAAAAACGATTTCCAAGAAAGTTAATTCACATTCTTAATTGAAAAATCCTGTTTTCGGTCGCTATTAATCAAGATAAAGACTTTGTAGACCAGTGCAAATGGGTCAACACTCGAGTTAAGGAGTGATGCAGTTATTACGCGCAGTGCTATCAAACCCACTTAGGCAAAGTGCCAAGACAGCAATAAATTCATCGATGGAGGCCTAAACTTCTTGTGAAACTCGAATATTAATGTAAAAATACAAGTTTGAAAATTGCATGCGACCTAACCCGGTCTGTGTTTGGAAGGTTGTTTGGGATGTGGGGCTGGCGGCTCAGAGCCTCAGACCCATTTTTCGTACAATCCTCGCCTTTAAAGCTCATAAATTATAAGCTCTTCATTTAAATTTGTATGTTTATTGCAAAGCTTTAATTCCTTACGTCAGTATTTATAAAAATCACTGTAATTCCAATTCTCAACTTATTTATATATATATATATTTATAAAAAGAAAAAAAAGGGGTCGTTATCTTAATTTCTTTTTGACTTTCATACCTACGAAAGCAAAAGAATAGCCCCAAGTTAATCGTGTGGTGCTCACTTTACTATAATTAATTCCTACGTGGCTGTAATAAAGTACATTCTACGTTATTTAATTTCATAAATATAATTTATTAGATAAAATATAATATTAAATGTTAAAAAAAAAATGAGAGAAAGTAGCCGGATTTTTGTTGAAGAAGCATACTCCATCCAAAATGAGGGTAATAATATTTGATTTGAATATGTGATGAAGTTATCATACATAAGAACATCAACATAGCTTTAGCAACACGTTAGGCTGATGGGACATACTTGATTCCCCCAAATCATTCAAACTCACTTTGATCCTAACTTTGGAATCCTTTAATACATGTAATTGCATCCATATATTATATGGATGTTTGAATGAAGAAACTAAAAGGTAGAATAAAAAAATAAGAAATAAAGTTGGGTAGTTAGACTACCAAAACATCATTGAGCCATGTGCATCGTTGCTTGGTGGGTAATATGCTATGGCCCTCGATGTGCAAACCAGCGCACTGCAACTCACTCTCAATTTCAACTCCCACAATTGTATTTGCCTTCATCAATCCAGCCAAGATAATTCAATTCCCAGCTCATGGAATGAAGTTTTAAAAGATTTAAATAATAGTCATGATAATGACGATGATGATGATAATAATCAGGCTTTTCTCTTGTTTGTCTCTATATAGACCCACTTGCTTCTTTCTATTCTATTTCTATTCCCCAAAGCTCCCCTCCCTTTCTTTTCAGTCAGAGCCCAAAATCTGAGATGGGTTTTCGATTCAGAGCTCTGTCTCTCCCGCTTTTACAACTTCTGTTTCTCTTTTCGCTTGGAGCTGCTAAAGCTGAGGATTTCTATAACATAAGCAATGTGGGAAGTAGCAAGCAAGGGAGGGGGTGCAATTTGTTCCAAGGCAAATGGGTTTTTGATCCTTCTTTGCCTCTTTATGAATCTTCAAACTGTCCATTCATAGACCCTGAGTTTAACTGCCAAAAGTATGGCAGACCCGATCGATCTTACCTCAAGTACACCTGGAAACCTGACTTCTGTGATCTTCCAAGGTACTACTCCTCCATTCTTTTCTTTCCTTCTTGTAAGGTTTTCCATTTTTGGCCATCCTGCTCTCCTTGCAAATCTCAAGCTTCCTTCTCTGAAAATGTGGGAGCAAAATCAAAGCAGCTCTCTCTGTCTGTCTAAGAAAATGTGTTCATTTCTTTGAAGGTTTAATGGGTTGGAGCTTCTGAGTAGGTGGAGAGGGAAGAGGATAATGTTTGTAGGCGACTCACTGAGTCTGAACATGTGGCAATCCTTGACATGTATGATCCTAGCGTCGGCACCAAAAGCCAAAATCTCCATAGTCAGGAGGGAATCACTCTCTACTGTGATTTTCGAGGCGAGTTCTTTCCCCTTTTTCTTTATCTCCAATTTTCTGTTTCAAAATCTCCCACTTCACAGTATACTAATTGTCTGCTTCTTTATTCTCTATTCTTTATTCACTTTTTCAAAAGCTGTTTTTCGGGTTCTCCTGCAAGAGTACAAAACAAATAATATAACAAAACCATATGCAAACAATAATAATAATAATAATAATAATAAACACGAATAATAACTTTCTGTTCAATAATTTATAATAATATACCTAACCAATGAAGAAGAGGGAACAATCTGGTGTGTGCAGGAGTATGGAGTAAGCTTGCTTCTTCACAGAACGCCCTACCTTGTGGACGTAGTGAGAGAGAAGGTTGGACGAGTACTAAAGCTTGATTCCATTGAAGGAGGCAATGTGTGGAGGGGAATGGACGTGCTCATATTCAACTCTTGGCACTGGTGGACCCACACTGGAAGATCCCAAGCGTAAGATCAACCTCTTTTTTTTCTTCATCATGCTGATGTGGTTGGTGATGGTAAGGTAAAATCTGACGGTTGCGAGTGCTGTTGCTCAGGTGGGATTATGTGCAAGTAGGAAGTGCAGTGAAGAAAGATATGGATCGTCTGGAGGCCTTCTATCAAGGGCTGACCACCTGGGCAAGATGGGTGGACATGAATGTTGATCCAAGCAAAACCAGAGTCATTTTCCAGGGAATCTCCCCCACTCATTATGAGTAAGTAAAAATCACGCCTGTCATCGGAGGTCTGTAAAAGTGTATACATGAAAATGGAAATTGACATGCAAATCGCTTTTTCATCTGCCGACGAAAAACAATGTCCTACTTATGTCTACCTATTTAATGCATTGCTATTCCTCCTTTTCTTTTTAACTATTTTGCTGTTGAGCAAGCAGTAATTTTCACACCAGAAAACTCCGTTAGTTATACCTGCTCAACTAGTTTCTGCAGAATTTAAGAATATAACTTTGTTTTTCTTTCTCGACTGGAAAAATTGATGTTAATACTTTTTACCAGGGGAAAGGATTGGAACCAACCAAGGAGGAGTTGCAATGGAGAAAGCGTACCGCTCTCAGGGTCACTGTATCCAGCAGGGGCGCCACCCGCGGTGGAAATTGTGAAGAGAGTGCTGAGTAGAATAAGGAAGCCCGTTTTCTTGCTGGACATCACAACGTTGTCGCAACTCCGGAAAGATGCACATCCCTCTACTTACAGCGGGGAACGCGGAGGAACAGATTGCAGCCACTGGTGCCTTCCCGGCTTGCCCGACACTTGGAACCAGCTTCTCTATGCAGTTTTTACCATGTGAAGGCCAAGCCTGAAACACTTGGGGTTCTTTTCGTCTCTGCAATTCCTCACAGGAAGTGTTAGAAGAAAGAACTTCATTCATCTAATTAACCACCTTAACGGGAATTGGGAGAAAAATATGTAATGGCAACAAAGCAATTGTACAAAGTAATTGATGATTTTATTTGTTGCAGTTTCAGAAAATTGTTTCACATCGATAAGGAAAGAATACAAGTGAGATGGTATCAAGATGGCATCTTGCTTGGTATTAAACTGGAATAAAATACTCTATTGCGCATCTTTAAGATATGGGTCCGATTGAATCATTCCACGAACTGGATATGGGCAGTTCGTTTAATGATCATAGATGTTGATAACCAGAAAATGAGTTTGAAACAGTATATTGCAGAACGTTGAAACCAAGAAATACTAAAATTGAGAGATTAATCGAGCCCAGAAATAACCCTGCGGTTCTAGCAATATCTCCAAGGAAACTGAAACGTTAATGTATACATCAAGCATAACTAACTGCATAGTTACAATCAAAGATGACTGGTAAATAATCCTCAAGGTCTTCGAAAGGAATATAAGGCAACAAGAATTAGTAGCCAACATATACGGCGGCATTTACTATGTAACAGTCATCATTTTTGTCTCCCATTTCTTCCACATGCACACCACTGGAGCATATTAAGCCACCATCGACAACCTCAACATTCAGAATCTTCCCACTGCAGTAAATCAAATGATGGAAAGATTCAATAATCTTCCGAAAACGATAGTTTAGAGGTGTTCACTATCATCCGAGGGAGATAATGTTAGTCAATTCAAACAATCTTTCTCACTAACATGGTATTTCAAAATAACTGGTTCCAAGAGTACTAAATCGAAATAGCAGACCAACAGAAAAGCAAGCAACAGGGTAGTTAATCATGATTCGCACAGAAAAATAAATTTTGAAGCCAAATTGACGAAGTTAGTTACTAGACTACTGATCAACTTCTACATGGTTGTGCAACCCACTCACTCCGGAGGTTACAGCACAAGTAGCTCAGAAAATTTGGAAAAGACTAAAAGGGTGTTGTGGTGGCAAACCCAGAGGGCAAAGAAAGGAGCATTTAGCTTGACAATTATCAGAGCAAGGTGAAGCAGCTCTCAGAGAATCTTGGCATATTGGAAAAGGAATCTAAACCTCAGACTTCATCATCTCTGTTACAGGCTTATAGCTGGCTTAGGGGCTGAATACACTCCTATCAGATCAATCTAAGAGACAGAACTTATTTGGCAGAGCCTAGAATTAAAATGATAATAATAAATAACCTAGATCCCAAACAAGTATCTAGTCCTTTAAAACTGAGAAATGACATATGAGTGCCTAGGGCCCTCGATTAGAAAAGAACCTAGTAAGCATCTCTATTTTGAGTCTTTGACACGTGATAAGAACGAAGAGTTTGGAGATTAAGGATTATTTATATCATCTTGGCCCACCAACAGTGAATCCTCACAGCCTCAATCCCTCGGCTGTCTATCTCCTCAAAAAACTTCCAAGTGATCAAGTCAGCTGAGGTTAAGTGTAGAAAGTCTGTTGATAGCCATAACATTAGTAAAAGGCTTGGAACTAGAGTAATTGAACATAAATAACGCCTCTTTGAATTGAGAGAACAGGAGGACATTTTGACCCGAAAAAAATTTACAGATGTATCATGTATGCAAACCGAACAAGGCCTTACAAAGTCTAAAACAAGCTCCAAGAGATTATCTCTAACAGTTCACAACAATTGTTCATAGTTGGGTGCCTTCATCAACTCTAAATCATGCTCTTCCCTACTTGTGTTCGAGATATTACTCTTGTCTATGTTCTTACATATTAATCACACGAACTAACCAAAACAAGGGTAAAAGGGTTCCTTACAGATTTTGTTCAAATATTTTTCCTTGAAGGATGCTGATTAATTAGATTGCTTTTTGGTAAAGTAATAAGAGATGCATCTGGAATTAACCTATAGTGAGGCGAAAGCTTGTCACGCTTAATTTTTGATAAGCAAGGAACCAGAAATTGTAAACATGGATTGAAAAGTGATCCAATAACTTTCAGTGCAATAGGGGCCCTGCAGGACTTAACATGTATGGGACTGAAAATTCTTTGCAGTGTAAATAAATTAAGGCAACACTTGCAAATCCTCATCACTTAACCTCAAGGCTCAAGCTGCCTACAAATATTACGTTCTACAGAGAAGCTTAGAGTGATTGAAACCCCCACAAGTTCGGGTGGGGGAGGGGCATTAAAGCAAGCCACGAACCAGCACAGCATCTTAATCTAATCGGCCTTCTTCTACAGTTGAGCAGCCAAAACAAATCTTTGCTGCAGCTTCTGTTGCCTATGGCTTATTACATTTGCTTTTGTGCCTAGTTACTGTTCCATCCCCTATCTGCTAGGTTATTTTGCAAAGATAGCTTGGCTAGTAGTTTAACTTATTCATCCCATTGTCAGGATTATGAACTGTGTTTGTATCAGTAATACTAATGAGCTGACCTCAAACACAAGATGTAGCCCTTAACAGCTACATATTATCAATAAAAAGGAATAGCTTGACACAAGAAAGAGTGCTCTGTGTTTTCCCCAAAAAAATTTAGTCATCAAACTTAAAATAGTTCAGCACTCACTATGGAAAGACGGACTTGACTTTTTCAACATCCAAGGATTGTTGAAGCGACTGTGGAACTCCAAGTTTGATCTGTAGTTTCATCTCTCCAAATGAGACTCCAGGAATGGTACCTACATTACACCTTGTCATTAGTCCCCATTAAGATATTAAACATAAAGAAATTAGCAGCATTCTTTCAACATAAACTTAATTTGCAGAAGGCAGAAGTCCATAAAAATGAGATTCTGAATTTGAATATAAGTCCAGAACAGTGTCATGACTACTCAAATAAAAACAAGATCCATATATGCGTAAATGAAAGTAGTTTATAGGAGGTAGAGTGCACTGATTCAAGCATTACCAACCAAAATAAACAGAAAGCACACGAACAGCCTATTATGGAGTAAGGAAAGACTACATAGCTTAACTTCTAATGTTAAATCAAAGCTGCCAAGAACAAGGAGCTTAATTCAGGAACTCATATCTCCTGGCACATGATTAATTAAACAGATAACAAATAGCGCGAGGATATGAAATCCACTGAGACATACCTCTACGGAATGCTGGAATCGAATTGGAGCATATGGCATCCCTGCAGGCTCGCATTGCAGCAGCCGTGACATCTTGACTGTGGCAAAAGAGAATACACTCGTTAATCTCCTTCTTTTCTCTCTGAAAACGAGTTTGTAATTGCATTCCTGAAATTAACACTTGTAAGTATAACAAGAAAAAGAGCTGAGAATTCACCCATGTTGATCGTAGCCAACACCCATCTCGACAAACAAGAGCTTCATGGGAGCAGATTGTGCACCTCGCTCGACCTCCATGGACGACGCAGCAGCAGCTTTGACAAGGCGAGAAACTCGAGGGCAGATCAAATGCGCAGAAGATGAAGGATGATTATTTGAATGACGGTAAGAATGAAACCTGAAATCAGTTACCCAATGAACTGGCAGCTGACGCGTTGCCAAATGCGTAAGAAAGCTACAAATCCAAGTCCACTGTCCGAACGGATTTACAAGGATTGCCCTAAATTTGATATTAAAAAAGAGAATATTCTATTATAGTTCTTTTATTTTTATTTTTTATTTAGTTTCAATATTTTAAGATTTTACACATAAAATTAATATAAAAAAAATTTGTTTGCTATTAAAATCAATATAAAAAATCTTACACCATATTAGTTAAATTGATCAAAAGAACTTTAAGTGTAAATCATATTCAGATATATATTTATTTATTTGTTGTCACTCTACACTCAACAACAGATGACTTTATGAATAAATTAGAGCAAAGTTACTTATTAAAATAATAAAAAGAAGAAGAAGAATAAGAATACACGAGGGAAGAAGAATATTATAAAGAACACCCTTCATTCAGCATCAACCACTCAACAGTTGCCGGTGTTTTCAGAGGACGACGACAGAGCATATATAAAGAGGAAAAGGTTGAAAGTTGAATGCATATGAACGAAGAAAATGGCCTGGCCTCCCTCCCCTCCTTTTTCCCCCATATAATTAATAATAATAATATCACCTCACTTCAGTTCATTTGCTTTTTAAATGGATAAATTGGAGTTCCATCCCAACAAAGCCGCCGCCGCCGCCATTAATATTCACAAACATGATCTTTACACCCAAAAAGACAGAGCCCTCTGAAGCTGAGATTGCTGCAGATTAACAAGTTGTAGGCCTGTTGCTACTGCATACGTACTTATGTTGCTGGTTTTGGCATTGTACGTGACATGAACTGGCCTTATCTCTCAGCTCTTGAAATGCCCTCATTGTTTCCACATCAAACCCTCCAGCAAACTGCACATAATAAGAAGTTTATGACGAAGTTAACCACAGACTTCAATTAATGTCAATAAGGAGACGGTCCCCTTAAAATTACCTGATGCACACGGAAAGCAAATCGAACGCCTCGAACAATCAACTCTTCTTCTTCAGGTCCACCACCCACTGTTTCAAGCTCTGCGGATACTCTTTTCATGTACTTCATTGCTAATTTTACAGAGACAAGCTTGATCTGTGACACATTAATTGACTCAGATCAGACCCATTTCATTTCAACCCAATAACTTAACTAATACCACGTGAACGTATTAAACCATACCCAACTTGGCTCCTACTGGACCACCATCATACCATATTTTGAACGCAAACAATTAAGTACTTCTAACATTCGTGAATGTACTCTCTCTTTCTAAAACAATGCATTCCGGAGCTTCCAAGGGCTTACTTGAGTTATAAAATGCACGAATACTACTTATTATCAAACAACTTCCAGTATGCTTATTCATCCTGAAGAAACTTATAAAAAGAATCATTTTTTGCATACAGCAAACAAGAAGAATCTGATTCTCTTGCTAGCCCCATAATTTAAGAGAGCCATATATAAAGCAGACAAGAAGGTGAAGTTTGGAAATCTGGGAATTCCCATGTGCGCGTGCAGGCAAAGGGTAGAGGAAAATAAGGCAAAATCAAAACATCCTTTTTGTCATCTTCTTAACTATTCTCCATATTTATATTACATTACGCTGTAGAGTTTGTCAGAGTTATTTCCCTGTCTCTCCCACAACGGATCCACCATTAAAAGGGACCACACCTAAATGGATCAACAACTTGATTATTTTAATTAATCAGAGCAGTCATCTGTTCTTGGATACTCCTACCCACCAGCCGAACTAAGCTACAAGAATTAAACTATATTTGTTTAATTTGGAGAGAGATGGGGAATTTACCTGACTCACAATTCCACTATCAAGCATCCATTCCACTGGAATTTGAAATGCTTTGTATCTCTTAGTTGCAGATTCACGCATTCTAGACAGATTGTATACTCCATGCTCCAACCTGTTGCGCATAAAGAACAGACACTAAGAAACAAAACTAAAAGAGTAAAGGTGAAAATCAATTAGTAGGATGGTGAATACTTTTCAAGCAAAGCTTGCATCTTCTTGAGAGCCGAACCACAGGGCTGGCGGGCATCACCACGAAAGGATGACGCTTCGGCTTCCAGCTTCTTTAGATCACAATAGCCAAATGCAGCCTCACGTAGAGCATCGGCCTTCTGCTCCGGCCACTGGAAGTGCTTAAGCACGGCTCTTTCATCCACCAGATATGAGAGCTCATCATCCAACCATTTCACAAATGGCACAACGTCCTCAATGTCAGTAAATGAAGCATTTTCAACTTCTTTGATCAAGAACCTTATGAAATCCCCTTGAGTCTCTACATCCGTCTTTATCTGCAAGTAACATGGGGGAGTGATTGTTCATGAGAATCATAGTAAAAACAAAACTCAAAAAGAATAATGATGAAAGTAACTTTTTTTTTTTCTTCAATATATAGATGTTGGAGTTGATATTACTCAAAATCAAACTTTATTTGGCATTGGCTTCAAACAAAATTAATTCTCTATGATTAGCTTTCGCTTTGTTTAGCCTTGGCTTTTCTTTTCTTTTATTTTCTTTTCTATTTTGTATTTGAAAAACGAGAGGGGGAGGCCAAGGGTACATTTGAATTACTTAACCTCCAAAAAGAAAAAGCCATGTGAATTGAGTAAACATTTCAACTTGAAATTACAGAATTGCCAGTCTTGAGAGGAAAATAAAAATAAAGCGATTAGATAATAAAATCCAAATAAATATTCATCAACTATTTTTTATTTAGGTACCAACCCCTATCAAAATTATATTTGAAATTATAAAACTGAATTTTTGTTCCATGATGCAATCTAATCAATGCAAATAATTTTGTTGGTCAAAATTAAAAAAATTGAGATTTCTTTTAAAGATAATTGACATAATGTTTTTTTTTTACTTTAATAATAAAAACTAAATAAATCATTTATTCAAAATAAAGAGAGAGAAAATAATAATAAGAAGAAGAAGAAACAGAGTTGTTTTTTTGTATTTCTGGAAATCATGAATTCCGGCCGGAATTTGGCTGGATTCTTGAATTTCCGCTGATTGAAATTTGTCCGGAGTTCATTGGAACCTCACATTATCTAGAAGTTAAAATACTAATTAAAAAAAAAAAAAAAAGGGTTCGTTCATCCAAAACCAAAAAATATAAAAGACATTTTCTTCAATAATCCAAAAAATTTGAGGACTAGTCAATTCTCACTGACAAAAAGCTCAGCATAGTGGTATAATCGTAAATTAAACACCAGAAAAAATTAAGAGACAGAGTACATGACCGGTGACTTACAGCGAGTAAGTGAGCGGACCGGTTCTCGATCTCTCCGATCATGTCACGAGCATTGGCGGAGGACGGCGGTTCCGTAACACCGGAGCCGAGTTCACGCCGAGAATCCCTCCGCATTAGTGAGTGATAGAACTCCACAACCTCCGGTATTCGTCGCACCTTCGCCGACGTCGGCCTCTTACCCTTGGGAGGCGGTGGAGGAGGAGGCGGAGCCGACTTCGAAGGTGGCGGAGGAGGCGGCGGTGGCGTTGGCTTGGTTGGGACAGGGGGTGGGGCTGGGATCTTTTTCTCAGCGTCACCAGAAGAGCCAGTAGATGTGGAGGAGGAGGAAGAAGTGGCAGAAGAAGAGGAAGAGGAAGAAGGTTTGGGAGGAGGTTTTGGAACCCTAGGTATTCGCGATTTTATGTTAGATAGAGTGGACTCGGCGAGTTCTTCAGAATTACTTCGCGAGTGTCTCGGTCTCTCGGTTTCAACCTCTTCTTTCTTCGCCTCTGGTTGTTCAACCTTATGATTGTCTTGAGTAACAACAGTATCCGAAAACTTGGTCGGTCTTTTCAGGCTCCTGATTAGGTTAGATTTTCCCGAGACCTCCATTAATCCCTGGAACCTCTGCGACGCCGAAAGCTCGTCGTTCTCCAAAATAAGCTCCATTCTTCGTCGATCCAACGCCATTTTCTTCAGCTCCGCGATTTCACCTTCCATTGCTTTTACTCTCTCTTGACTCTCTCTCCTCTGTTCCTCCACACTCTGTTTAACTTCCTCCACTTCAACTCTTAATCTCTCATTCTCAGCCTCCAAGAACAGTATCCGCTTAGACGCTCTCTCAATCTCCGCATCTTTCGTAGCGATCTCGTTCTCAAGCATAGGAACAATGGCGACAGATTCCTTCAACAGCTTGTGCTCCAATAGGTCAGTCTTCAATCGCGCTTCTCTGTCACGCAACTCCTCGACCAACTGGAGGAGCTCCGTCACGTCAGGCAGTCGAGGCTGAACCTGAGCAGAAGAGCGCGGGAAATACACTCCAAACGAGCGGGAGAAGACAGTTTTCTGAGAAATTTTACCGGAGCTCGGAGAAGGCTGTGCCGGGGTGGATGGCTTCGGTGAACTCTCAACCTTTCTACACGCCGGAGACTTCTGCAGCCCCATTGCGAGCTTCACCTTCCCAGCTACCATTTCGAAGCTCTCTCTCTCTGTCTGTATCTCTCTGAGCTTCGGGGTAAGGTCGGGACTGAGGTTTTACAGTCCTCCAATTTTCAATCTACTTTAGAGTGTGAACGAAACGTCCTTGTCTTCGTGTCATCTGAGAGAGAAAGCGAATAAGAGAGGGAGAGAGATAAAGAGAAGTTGGAGTTTGTGTAAATAAAAAATTTCAGAATTGTTAAAAGGAAAAAAAGTAAGTAACAGAGAACGTTTGGGTTTGGGTGGGAGAAGCGACGAAGACAACAGACGCAAGAGGGCAATGGCGTCGATCACGAGGAACGGTCGTATTTCCCTGGATCTCATTCGCCAATTTGAAAAAGAAAGTAAACAATCGCGGCGAGTATGTAAAGCTATTCTACTCGCTTTGTGGCCCTGACAAGTACATGCGTGATGGAAGGGGAAGGAATGAAGGAATGAAGCAGTCGTTGGAGTTGAGGGCGCGTGGGCTTTGAGGGTGGGGCAGGCATCCGAGTAATAAAAAGTTCCACAAACTAGTAGAAACCCCTTCCCCTTCCAACGGTCAGCTCAATAATTTTTCAACCAATTTCTCGCGATTTATCGCCACACAATTATTTTTATAATACTTTTGCCCCTCTCTCCGCTTCCAGCCCCCGGGAGAGTTCTATCGTCAAATTTATTTCTTTTTTTATTTATTTCCTTAGTAAAATATTTTATGCAAACATATATCAAGAATCACAATAAGATTTATACTTTGATTTCGCAAATGCAATGGTTATTAAAGTGGGGGGAATGACTAAAAAACTATATATTATAAATAATATATTTACTAATCTAAGCTATATGGAAAGTTATGTAAACCCACTTTGTATACAACATACCAACCCTTTTCAATTCTAAACCTAAAAACTAAATAAATAATTCAAAAATAAAAATTCGACAACTATTATTTGACACCATTAAATACATACTTCCATAATTTATTTAATAGAGAGTGGTTAAATTTTGGTATTAAAATAAAGTTAGCAGGCATAGTGGAGGCGTAGTGAGAGGATTCAACTTTATAATAAAAGCTACTTAAATTAACATTTTGTTAATTTCATTCATCTTTTCTTTGCTTTGAACAGTTTTGGTAACTTGCCTTGTTGCTAAAATTTTAATCATTGCCAATTAAAACCCTCCCACTAATTATTAATTAAGCTGTTTAAGATTTTTTTTTTTTTTCTTCCTTTTCGACTGTTGGATGATGAAAGTCTCATCGGTTAATTTAGGAAATAGTCATGAGTTTATAATCTAAGAATATACTCTCCATTGGTATGAGGCCTTTTGGGAAGCCCAAAGCAAAGCCATGAGAGCTTATGCTCAAAGTAGACAATATCATACCATTGTGGAGAGTCGTGTTCGTCTAACATGGTATCAGAGTCATGCCCTAAACTTAGCCGTGCCAGTCAAGCTTCCTTGAAGGTACGAAGGCAGTCAAAAATGACTAAGACTCCAAAGGAGTCGCACCTCGATTAAGGGGAGGCATGCTTTGTTCGAGGGGAGGTGTTGGATGATGAAAGTCCCACATCGGTTAATTTAGGGATTATGCTCAAAGTGGACAATATCATACCATTGTGGAGAGTCGTGTTCGTCTAACATCCACAACTTTTACTCATTCTTCACCAACCCATTTTACTTCTCAAAATGGAGAGAGGAAGGAAAAAGATGAATAACTGAATTAATAAGGGAAAAGATGCATCATTTTCCCTCCCTATTCAATGCCTCAACACTGACCATTAACTAACTTACCGCACACCCCCCACGTCTTGTGTAAATCATTTTCACCATTACCCAGCCAAGGCTTAGCTAGCCCTCTCATTTATCGAAAGATAGCATTTGCAAAAACTGGAATGGTTCTGTAATATCAAAGTACAATCCTTTTCAAATGTCAATTTTCTGATGTACGCTATGCTTGTTGTAGTTGTTGTAAAGGAATAGAGATCCGTGAACTTGGAAGTAAAGGATTACCAAATGCACATCGGGAAACAGCATTATACTAATTTCAGAATTGCTTTATAACATCGTGACATTAAAAGCCATCCAAAAGTGAAGAAATGGGTTATTCTTGGAATTTAAATCCAATGACATAATTGTGGGTATGTTTGGCGGTGTATTCATGAAAGAAGCAAGGAGGTGAGGGGAGGGGTAGCGGTAGCGGCAGCATGTGAGGAAAGCTAGCATGAAAGGGAATGCCACAAACATACAATTAATATCTACGTATTTCTACATTTTATGCAATGTGCGTGGTCCTTACTTATTCTCCTCCAAATGCCAAATGTTGATTGTTGGGTGCAGCGGCATAGTCGCCAATGCCAAATCTTCCACACCCCTTCAAATTTCTCCCCATCTCCCCCTTTTGGCCTTAGGATATTAGTGTCTTTCTTTCAAATTAACATGAATCCATTTGATCTCAAGCGTATTAATTTTAAATTGTGGACATCACACACTACGAATAATTGAGCTATATTTTTGTTTTCTGGTATGAAGGGCTAAAATGGTACCCGACCTAGAGACATTAAAAAAGGTTGTTCCCTCGTATCCTGCCACCTTTTCTTTTATCGTCTACTTAAACTCAGTCAACTTAGATCATAACTTCAATTCTTAAAACCCTTTTTCAATTATCATATATTTTACGATTACTCTTATTCCAATGTTGTAGCTTTTATTTATTTAGTTTAGAGTATATCTCCCGGTCGAGGACGATTAATGTTAAACATAATTACCAAATTTATAATTTAGGAAAAGATGGCGAGGTGTGAGGTAAGTTTGAATAGGAAGATGTAATGCCAAAAAGCAAGTCTGGCAAGAAAAAGAGAGAAGAGGATAGGGCCATGCTGCTCATAGTATTGCACTAAATGCCATAGCCAAAGCCATCAATGCTCTTTCCTTCCACCCCCCCTCTCCTCCATTTCGTTTCCCAATACAACCTTTTACCATCCCTCTTTCCCTTTCTCCATCCATTTCTTCTCTTCATTTTTTGAATTTTGAATCCCTTTCCCTCTTCCACTCCCACTTTCCATATCACATCTTTATTATAGACTAGTTTTCAGTTCTTTTTACTTTAATTATATGCTATCAATATTTTTGTTATTTATTCAAAACAAAAAAATTCTTTCTTTTTAAAATTGTTTTTTTATCTAAACGAATATGGGCTTTGTTATGGATGCAGACCCAACATCAGGAAGTCTAGTGGGGCATGCAGCAAAGGAGAGGAGCAATTCGGGTGGGCGATCAGGGTTTTAAGATTGAACTGTAGGATTAGTGTTTTCTTGCTTTATGCCCTTTTCCATTGAAAAGCAACGCAAAGACAGGGAAAGTGGAGGTGGCAATACTTGCCTTGACAAGCTCGCAACCACCTTGGCCACCAGTCGATGACTTCAAAGCCAAGCATATCTTTGCCGATGTTCATCTTTTAACTAACCCCAAATACAATAAAAGGCTTTGGGAATCCAAAATCCAAGTGGTTTAGAGACATACAAATAAATTCTTAAAGCAAAACCCACCTCCAATTTTGCAATCTATGCTCATCTCATTCACATCAAATTTGGAAGAGCAAAATGAATTGCAATTCGCAGAGAAGAGTGGGAATCAAATGTGGAAGAAAGCTGGTAGTGTGGGGATGTTTTGGTAACAAAAAAAAGTCCAAGACGACGATGGATAAGCGCAGCAGCTCGGGCAACACTACTGGGAAGAACAATTGGCGACAATTAATTGGGTCAAACAATTGGGAAGGCCTTTTGGAACCACTACAAATCGAGCTCCGACGCTACATATTGCACTACGGACAAATGGCGCAGGCAACCTACGACACATTCAACACCGAGAAGGCGTCGAAATTCGCGGGAAGCAGTCGGTATTCGAAGCAAGATTTCTTCGCCAAAGTCGGGTTAGAAAAGGGGAACCCATTCAAGTACAGTGTGACCAAATTTTTGTACGCAACTTCGCAAGTGAAGGTGCCGGACGCTTTCATTGTGAGGCCGTTGTCGAGGGAGGCTTGGAGCAAAGAATCGAATTGGATTGGGTACGTGGCGGTGGCGACCGACGAAGGGGCGGCGGAATTGGGGCGGAGAGATATTGTGATTTCTTGGAGAGGCACTGTGAGAAGCTTGGAGTGGATTGATGATATGGAGTTTGTTTTGACTTCGGCTCCCCAAATCTTTGGGCAGTCCAGCGATGTCAGAGTCCATCAGGGTTGGTATTCTATTTACACTTCCGATGATCGCCGTTCTCCTTTTACCAAGACCAGCGTCAGAAACCAGGCAAGTCGGCCTTACATTAAGAAGATGATATTACTCTTATTATCCCATGTGGGATTCTTTCAATTTAATGGGTTGGTAAATTACATTAACAAAAATAAATAATAAATTGGGATTAATTTCAAAAATATTTATTTTAGCTATGAGATCCAAATTTGGTTTGATTTCTAAAATATATTTTATTTTATTCTCCATATTTAATTATTTTATTTTTTTCTCATTTGCTTCTCGAATCCTATTTCACATATGAATAATAATATATATCTTACTAATTTTATTTTCTATCTCATTGTTAACACAGGTTCTCAGCGAGGTGAAAAGGCTGGTAGAGCAGTACAAGGACGAAGAGATTAGCATAATCACGACGGGACACAGCCTTGGGGCAGCAATAGCCACGCTAAACGCCGTAGACATAGTAGCAAGCGGACTCAACATTCCAGGCAGCAGGCAGCCAAAGGCAGCGCCAATTCCAGTGACGTCCTTCGTTTTCGCCAGCCCCAGAGTGGGAGATTCAGATTTCAAAAGGGTATTCTCGGAGCTCAAAGATGTACACGTTTTACGAGTGAAAAACGCGATGGACGTTGTCCCAAATTACCCAATTATCGGTTACTCGGACGTGGGCGAGGAACTGGAAATCGACACTCGAAAATCGAAGTACTTGAAGAGCCCAGGGAGCTTGAGTAGTTGGCATAATTTGGAGGGTTACCTGCATGGAGTGGCAGGAACGCAGGGGAGTAAAGGAGGGTTTAAGCTGGAGATTGAGAGGGACATTGCGTTGGTGAATAAGAGCCTGGATGCGTTGAAAGAGGAGTATCTGGTGCCAGTGGCTTGGCGATGTTTGCAGAATAAGGGTATGGTTCAACAGAGTGATGGGTCTTGGAAGTTGATGGATCACGAGGAGGAACCTGAATTTTGATCCTTTATTTGTTCTTCGTCATTAACTATTCATTTTGCTTCATTTCTTTCATTTGGATTTCTTTTACTTTATGTATAATTAATGCATCATTTCTGTCAAAGTGAAGCAATTATTGTTCATAGCCCCATTGGAAATAAATATTTAAAGATTTATTATTATTATTATTATTATTATTATTATTATCACATCATCATCATCATACATATTTAGTTTGACCAAATCTTAAGAAGCCAACGTCTGCTTTAAAAGTTAATCCACCATTATTTCATTACAAAATTTGATTTTCGCAAATTAAAAGCTTCTGCTCAGGCATTATGGTACTCAGAAAATTGGTTCAACACAAACTTAAGAAGAACACAAACTATATATTAGTATTAATAAGATGATAGAGTTGACAATCACATTTATACATGACTTTGCATTTGCATTAGTATAGATAATGAAAGTCATGATTGCATACTAATATAAGGATGAAAATTAAAAATTATTGTAATTGTAGTAACTTGGTGGAGCTATTTTGTTGGAGAATACTAAATTGAGGAGCCGTGAATGAGGCTTGCATCAAACTAGTAGCTATCAATTTATATGCTGCTTCGGTTAAATGAAGGCCATCCCAACTAACGTATTTGGAAGGATCATCACATACAATTGTCGATGGCAATCCACAAGGCATTGGAAAGTAGTATGATCTATTCTCATCCACACAACAAACTTGGTGGAGATTTGTAAATCCTGCAAAACAACAAGAACACCTTACTAATAATGAATCTTACACATCTCTTCTTCTTTATGGGAAAATGTCAGTAGGGATAGATTTACCGAATTTTTTTGGAGCATTGAGAATGCGCATAACTGCATTAAAATAATCTGCATAGATGAGATGAACGTGGGGGTGGAGAGCTCTAATCCGCTCGAGTTCTTGTTGAAGTTGCTCATTATGGTACTTAGAAAATTGGTTCAACCATTTCAAACAACCATTTTGGGGGTCATATTGGCTTGGATTTGATGTTGCATACACTTGGAGATATATTGGGAGACACCCAAGAGGAAGATTTCCAGGAACCATTATAGTGCCGACACCTAACTCAATCAACTCCTATACGAAAAGGAGTCCGTAAAAAAAAAGGGTTTTTTTTTTTTTTTTTTTTTTTGTCGTAGCGAATAAAGTAGAAACATAAAGAGTTAGACCTACCGTGATAGCGGAACTAATTTCTTTAACCACCAATGGTACTAAAGATGTGACCTCTGTAATGGTTCGATTATCTAACAAAAAGTAGTTGTAATCGTTGCCTCCTATTTCGCCCAGGATAAATAGCGAATTTTTAAATATATCCCTGCACCCTGTGAACAAAAAAAGGTAAGATTCAAAAACCAAAATTCATGGAAATAGAAGGGCTCTTAAGATCTAAATTTCATTGTTTATGGTTTCCGGATATTATTTAGGCAATTTTTCATTTGTTTTACCTTTTACTTCTAGAAATTATATAAAAGTAAACATAATATTTGAACTGTCGGTGGTTTGAACTCAAAAAAACAACCAATAAAAATAAAAAGTTGATCCCTTGGCTTAATTTTAAAGGAGAGAGAGAGAGCGATGAAGAAAAACGTACCGGAGGAAGCAGAAGATGCACAAACGGAAGAGTATGTTTTGTTGATCCAATGGAGTTGAATCCCGAGGGAGACGGCGTGAGATGGCACATTATGGACTCCCCTTTCTTCAAAAAACGACAAATCGAGCGCAGTTGCTCCCCCAACCGCGAAATTCAAGCCCTTTCCAAATTCCTCAGCGCTAATCCCCTCTCCTCCCAGCCCCACTCTCCGATATGGGCGTACCAGAGGAAGCCCCAACCATGTAGCTGCACAAAAATTAATCGAGATGAGTTGTTGGTGTTATCTGGAATCAGGATTTTATATAATAATATAATTGGGATAGAAATTAAGAAGAGACCAATGAAGTCGAGGACGACACGGCCGTCGGAGAATCGGCCGGTGGGGCGATGGAAGAAGGTCTCCCCGTAAGGAAGGAAGCAAACATTGACAGGATTAGGAGAAGAACAGGTGTAATAGAGATTTCCGGTATCGGAAAGGGAATCGCCGAAGTTGAAGATGGAAGTGTAGCGTCCAAAAACAGAGTGGAGGGAAAAGGCAAAGGCAAAGGCAAAGGCAAAGGCAAAAGCAAGATGAAGCGAAGGAATTGAGGGAGCCATGGAGGGAGGAAGATGAAGGTAGTTGGTATTTCCCTGAATTGTGTAGCCATTTATTCCACCTAATTTTATCATCATCATCCTCCTCCTCCTCCTCCTCCNCCTCCTCCTCCTCGTGTTTAAATAAAAAGGGTGGGTATAATAAATTGAAATTTGAAAACTACTCTAATTACGGTATTATATCAACCTTTTGTTGATCGGAGATGTTTAGTGAAGGTTGTGGGAGGGGCAAAAAGAAAGAGGATATTAAGTCACATGCGGAAATTGGAATCACAAAAAATTTAAAAATAATAATTTCACAACCCACTGCTCCATCCATTTGGGACTCACGTTCATAAAATGAATTCAAACCACATACTTATTTTTCTATTTTTATAAAAAATAAAACCACTACTATTTTTCATTAATAATTTCACCACCCATTTTATATAAATAAATTATTTTTAATAATTTCATTCTTTAATTTTAGATAATTAACTGTTAATTATTTTATTTTTCCTAAGTTAAATTACTAAAACAATTTATACAAATTTATGTTTGTATTTTTGCGTTAAAATTTAAGTTTTTGAATTTATTTTGTAATCAATCGGGATAATTATCATTAAATAAATTATTTTAATTATAAATACTTTGTATAATTTATATTTTAAAAATTAAATATTGAATAGGGTGGAATACATTATATTAAATGAGATATACTTATAAATGTTATATTATTGTAATAATTTATTAATAAAATAATAATAAAATTCAAAATCAATTATTTATGAAATAATGCACTAGAATATTTAGTTAATTATAGTGGAAAATCAAAATTTTATAAGCTAACTACTCCTAATTAACTAATTAATTAATAATTTTAGTAAATAAGTAGTTTATTTATTTTATATTTTTTTTTTGTGGAAATAAATTATATATAAGTTATTATTAATTTATTATAATTCAATAATAATTTTGTAAAGTGAAAAGAGAATAAGAAGGAAGAAATAAAGATGGAAAAAGAAGTATTGAAGAGGAAAAAGATGGGAGAGAGAAAGAGAAGAGGAACCGAAATGAAATGAAAAAGTTCAAATTTTTGGAAACCCATGCCATTCAATCGATGAACCCAATTAAATTTGAGAACTTGTGACGGCTCATCGTCCTTTATGCTACTCTGTAAGCCTAAATTCATCTTCTGGACTTCGACACAGAGATTGAATTTCCATGTCTTCTCCACCGTTTCCCATTTACCTCCTCCTCTTTCTTCTCTTCCCCCAATATCTGGGATTAGCCAAATTAAGCAAGCCCATGCTCGTAGTGTCGTCTTCGGCCTTGCTAATGATGGCCGCATCATGGGTCACCTCCTCGCTTTTCTTGCCGTTTCTTCCTCTTCACTGCCGTATGAGTACGCCTTCTCAATTCATCAGTCTATTTCTCATCCAAGTGTTTTTGCCACCAATAACATGATACGGTGCTGCGCAAAAGAGGAGTTATCTTGCGAGTCGATATCTCTTTACTCACACATGCGCCGAAATCTTGTGGCGCCTAATAAACATACTTTGACCTTTGTATTGCAAGCTTGCAGTAACGCTTTGGCTATCTGCGAAGGGATTCAAGTTCAAACCCATGTCATAAAACTTGGTTTTGCTAAAGACGTATTCATTCGCAATGCGTTGATTCACTTGTATTGTACTCATTGCAGAGTTGAATGTGCGAAGCAGCTATTTGATGAAGTTCCTAGTAGTCGAGATATAGTATCTTGGAATTCAATGATTGCTGGTTGTGTTAGAGCTGGGCAGATCAATGTTGCAGATAAGCTGTTTGTTGAAATGCCTGAGAAAGATGTGATCTCATGGAGCGCGATGATATCTGGGTGTGTTCAAAATGGGCAATTGGAGAAGGCGTTAGACTGCTTTAATGAAATGAGGGAGCAAAAAATGAGGCCGAATGAGGCAATATTGGTGTCCATGCTCGCAGCAGCATCCCAATTGGGTATGCTTGAGTATGGAAAAATGATCCATTCCATTGCGGACTCCTTGAAATTCTCAATGACTGCTTCTCTTGGTACAGCACTAGTTGACATGTATGCTAAGTGCGGTTGTATTGATGAGTCAAAATTCTTGTTCGACCGAATGCCCCAGAAAGATAAATGGACTTGGAATGTTATGATTTGTGGTTTAGCATCGCATGGCCTTGGCCAAGAAGCGCTTGCATTATTTGAAAAGTTTCTAACACAGGGTTTCTACCCAGTCAACGTGACATTCATTGGAGTCTTGAACGCGTGTAGCAGAGCTGGTTTAGTCAGCGAGGGAAGACGTTTTTTTAAGCTAATGACGGACACATATAAGATTATACCAGAGATGGAACACTATGGTTGCATGGTTGATCTCTTCAGCCGTGCTGGGTTCGTTTATGATGCTGTTGAAATGATTAACAGGATGCCTGCTCCTCCGGACCCTGTGTTGTGGACAACGGTGCTTGGTTCATGCAAGGTTCACGGATTTATAGAACTGGGTGAAGAGATTGGGAACAAGTTGATTCAAATGGATCCCACTCACAATGGGCATTATGTCCAGTTAGCGGGTATCTATGCCAGACTAAGAAAATGGGAAGACGTAAGCAAGATTAGGAGACTAATGGCTGACAGAAACTCCAACAAAATTGCAGGGTGGAGCTTGATTGAAGCAGGAGGAAGAGTTCACCGATTTGTGGCAGGAGATAAGGAACATGAACGATGTACAGAGATCTACAAGATGTTGGAGACAATTGGAGTACGAATAGCAGCAGCGGGATACTCAGCAAACGTTTCATCAGTACTGCATGACATAGAGGAAGAAGAAAAAGAAACTGCCATTAAAGAGCATAGTGAAAGGTTGGCAATTGCTTTTGGGTTGCTGGTGACTCAAGTTGGTGACTGTATTCGTATTATCAAGAATTTAAGAGTTTGTGGCGATTGCCATGAGGTAAGTAAGATCATTTCTCGAGTATTTGAAAGAGAAATAATTGTTAGAGATGGCAGTAGATTTCACCATTTTAAGAATGGTAGTTGTTCTTGTCTAGATTATTGGTGAAAGATATGGTTTAGCCCATCCAAGTTCGAATTAAATTATTTGTCTCTCACCATTTTTGAGCAAATTGAATGATATGCTATTCTAGACAATGAAACCTGCATTTTCCGACTGGAAAATCACATAACCCAAGCATTTACAATATGTCCAAAAGAGAAGAGCAGCTCTCCATTTTAGCATACAACATAAAATGAATGAAAAACTCTGCTATTTTATTCTCTTTTTGATGTCACTCTAACAGTCGGTTATTGAGGATTTGGAGGGCGACTGTTAGCAGAGGCCACACGAGACCCCCATTCTAGTAGCTCTTTGCTCGTGTCATCTTTGTGCACTAGAACTTCGATGAAACACAATGATTCTTTGTGTTCGTCATTCGCGGTCGCAATTGCTTCTATTAGTTCTTCCTCTGTTTGTACCTATTGATTTGAGCAAAAGTTGAATTACTAAATAAGGATGAATCGTGATGAGTTGTTTAGGAGTGATTTAAAACTTTGGGCTAACCTTGGCCGTCCAGCATTTTCCTTCACCATTGTGAATGGCATCCACCACTCCAGTGTAGTTCCAGTTCTTGATAACATTGTATGGACCATCGTGAATCTCTACTTCTATGGTATATCCTCCATTGTTGATGAGGAAGATGATGGTCCTTTGCCCACATTTAATCATTGTTGAAATATCTTGAGCCGTCACCTGAAAGTTCATGAGTTTATGATTTGTAAGAGTCTATACGCAGTTCGAGTTCTTAATTTTGAGTTATCAGATCAAACTCAACCATCGAGCTAATAGCAAACCTGGAAACTCCCATCACCAATACAGGCGATTATACGCTTATCTTTATTGGCCTGAGCATATCCCAAAGTGGCACTTACTGACCATCCAACAGAACCATATTGCATTTGGAATTCATAGCTGAACAGAGCCACACAAAAGAATTACAACTCTGCAACTGAAAAAAGCTTTAAAAAACACAAAAAAAACCAAGCTGACCCGCAATTCTCAGGAAGACGAAGCTTCTGACAGTTGAACCATGAATCACCAATTTCAGCAATTACCGCAGTGTCACCGGACAACATATTCTATTGGAAAGTAAGAAAGAAAAAGGAAAAACACCATCGTCAAGAAATTGGAAACTTTTATACTGTTAAAGATTCATATGGTAAACCTGAATATGCTTGAAGAGAACATTGACTCGTAAAGGTTCGTCCTTTGCATAGTTGGGAGGGATACAAGGAGGAACATATATTCGGCGATGATTCTCAAGAGCAGTGGGGTTTTTCTTCAATATTTTGGCCAATGCATTTAGAAAATCAGCCATGAAAACGCAGCCAAAGGATGGGCCATTACCGATGGTCACACGGTTCACATTCACAATCACAGCCTTCTCTTTTTTCACAAGTAGAGAGTACCCAACAGAGCTGTAATCATTGAAAACAGGGCCAACAAACACATAAGCATCGGCTGATTCAACTATCTCCCCACAAAAACTGGTGCTCACAGCACCCCAATATGTCCCAATAAACTGTGGATGGTGCTCCGGCACCAACCCTTTCCCCGACGGCATAAGGGCGATCGGATATCCGCTTGCATCGGCCAGCTCGACGAACGCCCGTTGTGCCTTTGCCACTCTTAACTTGGGACCGCCAACAATCACCGGCTTCACTGCGTTGTTGAGAAAATTTGCAGTTGCTTCAACTGCTGCTTCCAACCCCAATTGGTTGCTTACTCTAGAAATATGGCATTCAACTCAAGTAACGTTAACCATCAAACTATAACAAATGATTAGGTTTGATATGGCACATTCAAAGGGAAGGGACGATAATTGAAGAAAATTTATCATACTTTGGAGCAAGAAAGAAGTGAACTGGATCTGCAGTAAAAGTAGGATGAGGGACTCCAGGAAGATTGCAACTTATGTTGATGTAAACTGGTTTGCTCTCCTTTAAAGCAGTCGAAATCGCAGTGTCTATCAACTCATGCGCATCACTCAAATCATTCACAATCGCCTGCCACATTACC